CCGCCGCCGCCCCCACCGCCGCCGCCACCGTTGTTGTAGCTGTCACGGTCGGGCATCTTCGTCGCCGCCGCCGCGGGGCTCCGGGCACTACGGGAGGGAGGGATTGGGGTGAGGGAGGGCACCGGGAGAGGCCCCCACGGTACCGGGGGGAAACACCCGCCCCAGGACCCACGGGGCACCGGTACTGGGGGGAAATACCTTCCTCCTCCTCCTCCTCCCGCCGCCCCCGGGGGCTCAGTTCGGCGGGGGGCTCGGGGGGGTCAGTGGGGCATGGCCGTTATCCTCATGCTCTGGGAGGCGATGGGGTAGGTCACCATGGGGGTGGTGGCGTGGCTCATGGTGATCCCCCCCAAGGGTTGGGCCATGGAGACGGCCACCGGGGCCACCGAAACGGCCACCGGAGCCATGGAGACTGGGGGGGCCATACCCTGGGCGATGGTTTGGGCCAAAGCGGCCGAAAGCGGGGTGATTTCGGGGTTCATGGGGGGAGCGGCGTTGGCGGGGGGAGCCGCCTGGGCGCCGGCGGGGGCCACCAAATCCTGTTGGGTGACAGGTCGGGGTTGGAGGGCCTGGCTGCTGAGCGTGGTGTGGGTCTGGGCGATGCTGTGGTTGTAGTTGGTGACGGTGCCCACGGTGGGGGCCAGAGTCTGCTCGGTGGCCGTGGCCGTGGAGCTCAACGTCATCACCTTGGCCTGGTTACGGAACTGGGCGTTCTGCTCCAACAAGACCTCGTTGGTGGCCAAGAGGTTGTTGACCTGTTTCTTGAGGTCCTCCACCCTCTTGCGCAGCATGACGTTCTCCTCCTCCAGCAGCCTGTACTCCACCGTCCTGGGGTTGGAGAAACTGTACTCGTAGCTTTCGAAGTGCAGCCCGTCCACCCGTCGCCGTTTCAAGACGGGGTCGTGGTCGTCGTAACGGTCGGGGTCGTAGATGGCGTCGTAAGGGTCGTAACGGCGGCCGGCGGGGACGATGCCCTGCTCCCGGGCGGCCATGCCCCGCGTTTCGTACTCGTAGTCCCTCTGGAGGTGCTGGAATTTACACTTGGCGCCGCGTTGGCAGTCGCCCTTCAAGAAATCCCTGCAGATGGGCACCTCCTCTTTGCTGTTGGGCAAATCGGCGGGGGAGAGGCCTAAACCGGCGGCCACTTTCTGCCGCAGGCGCGGGGGGAGCTCCCCGGTTTTTTTGTAACAGTCCTCGTCCTCTTTGGTGCCGTGGATGAAGCGGCAGTTGAGACGGACGCACTCTTTGTTTTGAAAATCGTGGCAAAAGATAAATTCGTTTTTCCGGACGCCCAAATTGGTGACTTCGTTGATGTCGGGGTGACGGAACCGGCAGCGTTTGCCCCGTTTGCAAACGTTGCGGAG